AAAAAAAAAAATAAAAAAAATAAAACCAAAAATGATTTGGTATAAATACCGCTCAGTTACTCTGTTCTTTCATTTAAGCCACAATCAAGATGAATGAGAGAATCATTTTTCGTAGAACGCTCAAACAAAATCTACGTACCTTAACAATATAATTTGCAGGTTCAATTTCAAACAGCTTTCCGCCAATAAAAAATCCGAGATTACCTTTGCTCGAAGTGCAACGAGTAAAATAAAGGTCGTTTTCCGAATCATACTGAGAAGGTAAACAAAACTGAGTAAATCATCAGTGGAAATTGTATTAGTGTGACAAATTTCGTAATATTTTTCACTATGAAGATAAGGCAACCTACCACTCCTCCTAGTGCTACAGCGAGATTGTGCACTACAGTTTCCGGTCCGCCAATAAAAGATGTTCCTGTATCTGAGATAACATCCCATTTGGTACATATACTTTGACTACCAACCTGAACACCAGTAATAGTGAATTGCCAATAAGCTGCGAGTGTTAGAGGGACTATAAATATTTTGGTCCCGCAGTGCTCCTTGTCGTACCCGCCATATGTAATGATGCCTCCAACATCTCCTTCCTTTGTGTCCTAAACAGAAAGCTGCTGATAAAGTCGGAAAAGCCAAGATTAATGAAGGCGAGTATATTTTGAAAAACAATATTATAGACTTTTTGATATGTTATTGTGATAGATGTCACTGTACCCTGCGGGCCAACCATACTGTGAAAAGTGGTTCATTGAGAAGCCTCTGATTAACTGCATTTATAAGCGGAGGTTTGACTTTGGTGACAGATAAATCTTCAAATCCAAGACCTAGAATACCGTCAACCACGTCTTGCTCAAATCCACTCATAGATGTGGCCTGACCGAACGCTTGCTTGGATATTGCCAACTGTTCTTCGTTGATGCCTCCAATCTAAAAAAGGTTCTGTAGACAATGCCACTTCTGATCCTGTACTGTTGAAAGTTTTCAAAACATACCGTTATTGAATCAATGCCTATAAAGCCGGTTGCGTTTGACCCGTCTCCGTAGGAAACAGTCCATGTTCTACCGTCTGCTGCGTATGTTTTAGATTTAGACGAGTCAAAAGTATGCTTGTTTTTGCATGTAGTTATGCAATTTCGATCGGGTATCCAAAAATCTGCTGATCCTGTGTCTAGAACCACCACGAATTCTTGGCCTTTTTGACTTCCAATGGTTGCTTTTCCAACATACTCAAGATCATCATAATCGTTCAACTAAATCACTTTTTGTAGGTTTAAAAAGTATAATAATAAAGTGGTTGTAATAGCTTATGTATTGAAACGAAATTATAGAAAAAAAATTTACCTGTTGTGCGACAACCGCTTCGGAATCTATTTTTCGCGCAGTACGAAA